AAATATGACTTGGCAGTTCAGAAACTGAATAAAGAAGTATGGCCATTTATACATTCTATTATATTATATTGTATATTTATAAATTCCATCAAATTATATTGTATGAAAATCTCAAAAATTCAATTAAAAATGCTAAAAAATAAAGGGAGCTAGAGACAGGAGCAGCATAGAAGACCTCACATTATGCTATGCACTTCACTGAACACTATGCACTGTGCCCCATTAGGCACTATGCACATATAATCTCTTCTCTCCAGTGATCTGGAAGTAGGCATTAAATATCTCCATTTAGGAGCCACCTCAAGATGAAGAGCTACAGGTAGTCAATGGATGCTAGGGAGGAAGAATCAGTTTTCTCTAGGGATGAGCTCTGAGAGGTTATCTAACCTGGAACGGGCAGTCCTAAACACACATGAGCACTACAAAATGGACTCAATCACCGTCTGTGTGTGTGTGTGTGTGTGTGTGTATGATTGCTGCTGACCTTCCTAAAACAAAGACCTCTAGATAGGCTGACTAGATTCACTACATGGACAAGTAGTTGGGAATGGCTGGGGGTGCCGACAACACAGCAGACAGTAGCAGGAATATCAGAGCATAAGGGCTCTAGGTGGGGGGAGGGACGCTATGGGAGGGTGCCATCTGGGAAGTGGGTGTATAGTTGAATAAAATGGTTTGGGATGTTCTGTGTCATACACACACACACACACACACACAAAAAAAAAATCAACAAATTTTAAAAAATGTATTATATTTGAGGAGGAAGCATGGAAATTTATGTCATGATAATTAGCAGAGGTGATAAACATTACCATTTGTCTTCCAATGGGCTGGTTCCTCCAATGGGCGGTGCCCGACATGAGTGGGAATTGGGGAGGGAAGCTGAGACCTATTTTGGGATTGAAGCCAGGAGCCGCTGGCAGAGCGTGATGGTGTAGGAAACTTGCAGCCAGTGCAGCAACTCAAAGACAGAATGGACTGACTCCCTATGGACCTGGGGTAAGATCACTGGCCCTGGAGGCGTGAGCAAATGCTGGGTGGGTGTGATAAGGTCTGATAAGGTGGGCTCTGAGTGGCTTGGGGCTAGGCACTGGGTACTCATTTCCTTTGTAAGTTAATAAACTCACACAAAATATATAGTTTGTCTGATCGTAAACAGGAGACCCAGAGAGAATTTGGGCCACACCATTGAAATCTATTCGATGACTTTACAGACATACTCAGGTGCCAAGGATCCATGTGCAAACGATTATGAGTAGTGATAATCAGATACATACAGATTGGAGATGCATGCACCAACATCTCAGTGTTAGTAGCAAAAAGAATGAGTCTTTCTGCAAGGAACAATATATTCTAAAATGAAATGGAGATCTTTTTTAAAAGTTAAAGACTCACTCAATTTTATCTCTTACAGGGCTTATACTGAGTTCAATATTGTATAACTGTATTAACTCAACTGTGAACCTAAAAACTTACAGCCACTTGTGAAAGAGATTCCACTTGCTCTGGAATGTGTTACTGAATATGTTAAAGCTTTAATGAAATGATTCTTCTAATCATGTAGTTATTAAAAATTTTAAAGACTACTATCCTCAGGCCTCTTGATCTCTTCAGAGGGAGGGATATTAGAGTAGCCAAAAGCCCCATAAAAATAAATAAATCAAAGAAGAACAAAGAGTACATGAAGTTATCAGAAAAAAAAAGTGATGGGGAGATATGGGAGGAGTTTCAGGGGAGGGAGTGGGCATGGATTTGATCAAAGCACCTTATATGCACGTATGAAATTCTCAATAAATTATTTATTTACAAAAAAAAGAGGACAAGAACTTGTTAGAGATTTGGGGGGAGACATGAGAAGAGTTAGAGGGGGACTCAGAGGAGGGGTGGAAATGATGCAAATACAGTACTCTTGTACAAAATTCTCAAAAAAACTTATTAAAAAAACAAAAAACAAAAAAGTGGGGATGGAGAAATGGCTCAGTGATTAAGAACACTAGCTGTTCTTGCAGAAGACCTGGGTTTGAATCCCAGCACTCACATGGCAGCTAACAACTGTCTATAACTCCAGTGCCAGGGGATCCAACAGCTTCTTCTGTCTTCTGTGGGTATTGCACGACACAGGTGCACTTACCTACATGCAGGCAATACACATACACATAAAATAAAAATAATAAATATTAAAAGAAACCCCCTGAAAATTCAGGGTTTCTAAAGTGAGAATTCCAGGAACTCCAGATGAAATCATACAGACTTGGATTCTAGACTAACTCATGGGAAGAAGAGAAAGGTGTTGGGAGAAAACTGAGAAGGAATTTTGATAGTTAAAAAATATGAAAAACACATTTTAGTAACAAGAAATATTGTATATGAATGTGTGCTGGAGAGCTTTAGTTGTCAATGTGACACACCTGGGTTGAGGGAGCCTCAACTGAGGAATTGCCTCCACTGGACTGGCCTGTGGCCATGTCTATGGGACATTTTCTTGATTGCGGAATGATGTGGGAGTGACCAGTCCACTGTAGGCAGTGCCACCCCTGGGCAGGTGGTCCTGTGAGTATAAGAGAACAGGCTGAGTATGGGCCAAGGGAGGAAGCCAGTAAGCAGTGATCCTCTATGGCCTGTGCTCCAGCTCCTGCCTTCAGGTTCCTACCCTGAGTTCCTACCTTGGGCTCCCTGATGAATTGTGACCCAGGAGATATAAGTCAAATAAACCCCTTCCTTCCTAAGTCAGTATTGGTCAGAGTATTTTGTCACATCAATGGAAAAACAAACTAGAACAGCATGGTTTTTATATTTTTCACAAAGTATTCCATCAATATAATTTTTATCAAATAAATAAATATCCCCATTTTATAGATAAGGAAAAAAAGGAAGTATGGCCACGGCTAGCATGTGGGCAAAAGAAAGAGGATTAAGGAAATAACATTATTTTCCTTTTGCTCCTTATAGAGAATAAACATGACAAAATTAGAGGCCAAGCTGGGCATGGTGGTACCTGCCTATAATCCAAGCCCTTGGGAAGTAGAGGCTGGACGACTGAGAGTTAGGTCAGCCCGGGATATATTTTAAGGCACTGCCTCAGAAAGAAAAAAGCAGACACCAGAAAGCTGTCATTGTAGCCTTAGCAGAGAGGTTTCCATTCTTCGCCTATACTATATACTAAGAACAAAATAGACGACATATGGAAGTATGTTCTTTAAAACATTGTACCAAGTATTAGGGAACCTGTCCTAACCTGGTAATGACAGGGAATCATTTTACCCACCTAGGCTTTACGAAACAATGAATACTGTTTTAAAAATGAGAGTGCGCTGTCTAGTGGTGCATGTATGTAATCCCAGTACTCACTCTGAAGGCAGGAAGATCTTTTTTTAAAAATTTTATTTATTATTTTTATTTTTAGTGTATGTGTATTGCCTTCATGTAGGTAAATGCACCCATGTCATGCTATGCCCATGGAGGTCAGAAAAGGCTGTCGGATCCCCTGGGACTGGAGTTACGCACAGTGGTTAGCTGCCATGTGGGTGATGGGATTCGAACCTGGGTTTTCTACAAGAACAACCAGTGTTTTTAACCGCTGAGCCATCTCTCCAGCCCCAAGGCAGGAAGATCTTAAGTTGATGCCAGTCTAGGTTGCACAATGAGACTGTCTCATCAAAACAAACAACCCACCCCCTAAACCAAAATAAAAACAAACAAACCCCACAATGTAAAAGAGTATTGGAATACTGTCTTTTTCCTTGAAAAATTGAGTTATATTTACTAAGTGAGATAGTTGTTGTCCTTATTCTAGCCATCAGACAGTACATGTTTCAAATGTATGTAACTAGTAGTTAGGTGATTAGAAGAATCATCCATGAGTCATGAACCACAGTGGCACATTCCACCACCATCATGTATTTTTTCAGTATAGCAGTTTCAGAATTTAAGTTATGATTTATTAGGTTATGAAATAAACTTAGTTCATTAAGATGAACATGTTCTAAAAGCAGGCAGAGTGTTATATGCCTACAAACCCAGCATTCAGGTAGCATGGATAGGAGGACTGAAGTTCAAGATCATCTTTGCTTGGAAACATAGCTAGTTTGAGGCCAGCCTGGACTACATGAGATGCTGTCTCACTCTCCCTCCCCCTCTCCCAAAAGTTTTAAAAAACAAAACTGGAAAAAAAGATATCCCACAGAGCCAGGACATAGGTGTACATGTCAGTGTCATAAGACATTGTCATGTTGTAAGTACTGGTGGTGATGGTAAATGCAATTTAAAATAAAAGATTTATTTTTAATTTATGTGTATGCAAATATGTCTGTGTATGGTTATTTGCATATGACTGCAGGTGTCTGCAAAGGCCAGAAATGTTGGATCCCTTGGGGCTGGAGCTACAGGTGGTTGTGAGCCACCTGATGTGCATGCTGGAACGGAACTCAGTTCCTCTGCAAGAGTAGAATGCAATCTTAACTGCTGAGCCATCTCTCAAGCTCCAAAAATATAATTCTTAAGTATGTTTTGGTAAGATGATGGCTTCCTGTTTCAAACTATCTCCTATATCTCAAGTAATGCCCATCAGCTTGTTTTTATGTCTGGGGAATTTATCCTGAGTACCAGGCATCACTGAATTTGATTGTCTCAAACTCACTTTACTTTCACTTCACAGGAAGATGAATTGCAAAGAGTCAGCCTTGGTGGCTTACAGCTATAATCCAAACACTCGGGAGGCTGAGGCAGGAGGACTGCCATATGTTTGAGGTCGGCCTAAGCTACAGAGAATCAATTCCTGCCTCAAAACCAAGTTTATTCCTTGAGATGTGCTTAAGTCTAAAAAAGTTTTAATAAATATAAACAATATAATTAATAAAATTTGAATTCAAATTATTTATCTAATTGGCAGTTGTAGACAACAACGGCATCTAGTTAGTATACTCCTTTATATTAGGAGAGTACTTTGTAAATGTGTTGGATTCTTAAAATGGTTCTTGAAGAGTCTCTGGAGATTATCTCACCTGAGGAAATGGCTCTGCTGATGCAAGCAGCACATTTTCAGGCTTTAAATCACAGTGCACAATATTCTTAAAATGTAGATTCCTCAAGGCAACAAGTATCTGTTAGTACAGAAAAAGGTTTTGAGAGGAACAACTAAGAACAAAGAATAATGACAAGTAGAATGAAAATGCTGTAATGAAACCCATCACTTTGTAGGCGTTAATAACCTAAGACTTTAAAACAAGTGAGTTAGGTATAATAATGTCTAAACTCTACTGTAGTTCATCAAGTTGTAGTTAAAAGTTACTTGGTTCTTTAAGGCTGTAATTCTCATCTCCCAATATCTAAGAACATTGCTGTTTACTTCTCTTAGTTTTCTATTATTCTCTAGTTTCAAAGAAGAGTTAAAATACCTGTGTGACCATGAATTTAGTAATCCGTTCTGGAAGTCGACTTTTCTCACTGGACAAAATCATTTCTAACATATCTCCATGCAGCTTTTCCATCACTACAAAGACTCGTTCTGGAGTTTCAAACATGCATTCCAGATTTACAATCCCAGGATGGTGAAGATTCTGAAGAGAATTGGCATAATATATAAATGACCAACTTCAGTAGAGAAACAGTCTTACTACGAGAATACCTAAAATGCAACAATGACTGTATGAAATACACAGTGTAAAAAAGAGTATGGAAAGTAAGCTGGAAGCATGTAAGATAAAAATAACAAAAAGGGTACCAGAGTCTGACTTTTCTCAGTTGTGTTCTGGGAAGAAGAGGTATTGTGGAAGAGAATGTTTTCTATTTCTTCTGTACATGTGGTCATCTCCAAGATTTTATATATATATATATTTTAAATATTTCATTTTATTATTTCCATCCTATGTGTATGAGTGCATTGCCTGCATGTATGTGAGTACACCCGTGTAGAACTGAAGTTAAGGATGGTTCGTAGCTGCCATGCCTTTATTTATTATTTTTATGTGCATGTATATATTGCCTGCATGTAGATAAGTGCACCCATGTTGTGCAATGCACGCGGAGGACAGAAGAGGCTGTTGGATCCCCTGGAACTGGAGTTACAGACAGTTGTTAGCTGCCATGTGGGTACTGGGATTTGAACCTGGGTCTTCTGCAAGAACAGCCAGTATTCTTAACCACTGAGCTATCTCTCCAGCCCAAGATGTTTTATATTTTAGCTTAGGTTGGCTACTTTATCCTCAGACATCTTCTCCTACTTCCCTTATGTAATACAGACTCCTGGATTTATTGTACTCTTTTCTTAGTAATCCCATTTTTAATCTTTGTTCATCTCTCCTGTCTTCCTCAGGTTTGTGTGTGTGTGTGTGTGTGTGTGTGTGTGTGTGTGTGTGTGTGTATGTGTGTGTGTGTGTGTGTTTGTCTTTTTAAGACAGGGTCTACCCCTGTAGCCCCAGCTGTCCTGGAACTCACTATGTAGACCAGGCTGGCCTTGAACTCACAAAGATCCGCCTGCTTCTGCCTCCCAAATGCTGGGATTAAAGGTATGTACCACTATGCCTGGCATGAGTAGGAGTTTTAAATCATTTATTTTCATTCTTAATATTTGAGGTAATAATTTTTTTTGACATTCTAAAAGGCTGTATATCATGGCATATATATGGTATTTTTTAAATATTCTGAAATTTTGATTTTGCTCTGATTTAAGATTTTGTTTTGAATTGGTATAGTCTTTTGTATTGATTTTTAAATTCGTATTTGCTTTGATTACATTAAATCAAAGAATCCTATTTATATCACTGCAGTTCTGAATTAGAACTTAGATTTTTTTTTTATTATTTTGTGTATGTGTGTGTGAGTGGAAGCATGTTCGTGCCAGTGTTCATGTGGATGTCAGAGGACAACTCTTGGGGGTTGAATCTGTCCTTTACATAATGGGTTCCAGAGTTCCTGATGATGTGGGACATCAGGTTTACATAGGAAGCACTTTTTACCCACTTTTTACCTTTGCCAACCCTAGAGAGGTTTTTGTGTTTTGGTTTGGGAACAGAATGGCAGTATAAAAGCAGTTAGATCTACTTTTATTCTCCTTAGGTTTTATATGTCATTAATTACTTTTGTAGTTATGAATCCTTGTCTGTACATAATTGTAAGACATACATAATGTACAAAACTCCTAAAAGCACTGCACAAATACTATCATCCCACATATCTTATTTTCACTTAACAGTATGTTACAGATCACTTCCCACATAAACATCTGTTGATAGATATTAAATGAGTATCATGAGGCTAAGTACTATGTAAGTGGTCAAGCACCATTAATACAACTAACAAAGAAACCCTGTCTCATGGAATTAATTCTAGCAATGTGAGACAAACAATAGGAAATGAATTTGTAAATTAACATAAAATAGAAGTGATAAATGGTATGGAGAAAAGAAGAGGAGATAGGATAAGGAAATGCAGGGGATAGGAGGATGGATTTAATGCTAAATAAAATGTGAAAGCTTCACTGAGGAAACAGTATCTGGGCAAAGTCTGGCAGGAAGCAAAGAAGCACACAATACATGTATTTGAGGAAAAAGCTTTCCTACCAGCAAAGCCCTTGAGACGAGAGCACTTTTGGCATGTTTGAGCAATAGCTAAAAAGCTAACGTGGTCATCATTTGTAATAGACTGAACCTGTTGAATGTGGTGTCTACAATGGAAACTTTGAAGGAGATTTTGGCTTTATTTAATAAACAATCACAGGCAAACAATCCCCAAATGGTACATGCCCCTTTCTATTAAGGTGACAGGATACAGAGCCTATCATCAAGGGCTTAAGGGAGGATGCCTGTGGGTAAACTATAAGCCTACTTTTAAATGGTTCTGTGACTTTCTTCCCCATCTGCTATTGGGAGGGCCAAAGCTATGTTCAAGTCTTTACCCTATCTTTTCTTTTTAAGGATGTTAACATTGGAAGGAAAAACTATGGCTGTCACAAAAGCATCAGATTAAACACAAGTGTTCAGTCAGCTTTTGAAGTTTGTTTGATGAATACTACATATAAGATCAATAAAAAGTAAAGATGGCATAATTGGAGGTAGAAGAGGGCAGCCAAAAAAGGGTGGCCTGAGTTTAAAAGTGCAATAAGGTTCCTTTCAATCCATGTGTAAAAGTTTACCCAGAATGCTTATCTGACTAAACATTGTGGAACTTATTTCAGAAAATGAAGTATGATTTAAAAATTTTGTTTTAAAAAGTATTAGTGGTATAAATTCAGATTGTACTCTTTCATGTTCAAAGTATGTCAAAATTCATCTTTTTGCTGTTGGTGGGTTTTTTTTTTTTTGAGACAGGGTTTCCTTATAACACTAGCTGGCCTGTAACTCACTGTGTATACAAGGTTGGCCTTGATCTTACAAAAATCCACATGCTAGGGTTTAAAGGCATGCACCACCATGCCCAGCATTAAAGTTCATCTTTAAACTATATATACAGAGATTCTGCTGAGTTTACACAATACAGAGTAGATTCAGTGAGATAAAGAACACGTGATTTGGTAGCAGACAGATTAAAATTCTGGACCTGCCTTCTTTATGGGTGACATTGATTAACATACTTTATAGATTCTGACAAAGGTGTACTTACATACATACATGTAGGCAATTCACTCATACACATAAATAAAATATTAAAAAAGAATGAAAATAAGGCATATGCATACACCAAAAAACAAAACAAAAAAACCTCCTCAAAATAATTAATTTAGTATGAAAGAAGTATATCTGGAGACACACTAAAATCACTTAGTGCTAACACTGATGAAAAGTACCAGAATTCAGTGTGCAGTAAGTGAAAATTCCTGAATTCAAGTCTAGGGTTCTGTGATCAAAGTGAAAGAGAAATATGTCCCTAATTTTTATTTTTGCATAATAGTTGGACAGTCAGATTCCAAAATTAAATATGAAAAAGTGTCTCTAACAATACACTTACATTCTCACAGAGTCGAAATGCTATTACTACTCTACTTAAAGGCAGCTGTGTAGGAGGTAGGCTTGATATGAGCTTAGGCACCTATGGACAGGAAGCTTTGATTATCATTCCTCTGGAAAGTGAAATGAATCATTACTTTCTAGTGACCAATAATGTAATAAATGTACCATTAATCATTTGTTATACATCTCTTACTTTTGAAGAAATGTAAGTGCAGTAGTCTATTTTCTTGAAATTTATGCAAAGTCAGATGGGGGGGTTGAGAGCATTAATGATTACATGGCTATTATTTAAGATGCAAAAGCTACACAATGAATTAATGGATATTTGCACATCATTACATGATACCTAGAAGACCCAATAATCAAGCTAAATTTTAGTCTTCTAGATGACCCCTAAAGGAGATTAAGTGGTAGATAAAAAGAAAAACACAGGTAATTTATTTTATGTGATTTAAACCATTTCCTATTGTCTATCTCACCTTGCTGGAATTAATAAATTCCATGAGATAGGGCTACTTTGTTTTATTAATGATGCCTGACTTATGATTTAACTTATCTTTAAAATGTACTTTAATAAGTTGAGCATGGTAGAGCATGCCTGTAACCCAGCACTCAGGTGACTAAATCTGGATCACCTTGAGTGTGAGACTACATTGGACTACACAGCAAGCCTCTTCCTCAATAAAACCAAAACAAGAGCCTCAACAAAACCAAAAACAAACACCCCAAACTTCTAATGAACTAATGCATTATAAAAACTTTGATAAAACAGCATATTACTGTTAAAAGGTACATAGTTTTTCAGTACTCTATTTTTATATTAATTAGTGTAATCACATCATTTGTAAGAACTGGATGGGTACAATAATGGTATGTAAGAAACTACAGAAGTATCAGTATTCCTGAATTGATGAAGTAAGACTGAATTTTTAAAATTATTTTTAGATATTTTACTTGAAAAAAATGTATTCTCAAACTAGTATTACAGACTCAATAATAGCAGTCCTTTTTAACTTCCACATTATTGTAATCATAAAAAGGATCTGCACTATTCAGTATTCAGATCTTTATTGTTTCTTAAAGATCAAAACCAAAACCTATCATTATCTACATAATACAAAATACTTATTCAAAAACTGGTCAATTAAAAAATTAAAACTTAGGCAAGCCATTTAATTTTTTTACCTGTAAAATAGCCACTTCATTACGGAGTTGACTTTCTTGCTTTGTGGGGAATCTCATCTTATCAATTACTTTAATAGCTACATCCCTTCCAGTCTTTCTATGTTTTCCTATTAAAGAATAAAAAAGAATCAAATTGACAGCCCACATATAATACAAAAGCTTTATTGGGAAGTTGTCCATCAACTGAAATTTGTGTGCATTTACTCTTGCATTTTCTTCTCTTTTGCTCTTTTTCTTCTCCTACTCCTTCACTCACTTTAGGAAATGTGGTGCTTCCCTCTATAGTACTAGTACTGACTTGTAATAAAGGCAAGTTCATTACCTGAAATGGCAGAACATTTTCATGAACTTGTTTGCTGAGAATATAGCATGTTAAGTAAGTGACGGTTTTTAAATGTCCTGACCAAGTCTTCAGAGACTATCAAGATGGAAATATTGTACTAATGAATTTTACTCCAGGTTCACTAAGTCAGTGCAGAGTGATTAACTGCATGTTGTACTCCCAAACTCTAGGCGCCTATATTCTAGATATAAAAGATATATATAACAGTCACTCATTCATTAAAACTAATTAGTTACCTTGTATCTGTTTTTTTGGGGGGAGAGTCTTTTTTGAGACAGGGTCCCCTGTGGCCCCAGCTAGCCTGGAACTTGCTATGTAGACCAGGCTGGCCTCAAACTCACAGAGGTCCACCTGCCTCTGCCTCCCTTGTATCTGTTATAGGAGTCATTTTTTAGATGCTACAGTTTGAACAGTGAAGGTAGGTCTATTTATTAGCTCCACGTGACTTGCTGTTCCTTACCAAACTACTTACTTGAAAATAACTCATAGCTGTTTCAAGGAAACAATCATAAAAGTATGACTACTTTGAAAGATTAGACAAATCAGTGCATGTTTGGTAAGAGGCCAGCAGTACCCCAGACTATTTTCTCTCCCTTCAGTAAGGTCTTCCAGTGATATCACTAATCTAAAAACTGATAAATTCAAAGTTGCAAACTATAGACATTGTGCATATGTATAAAATCAACATGTTTCTGGGTATGATATAATGGCAGACACTGGGAACACAAGGAAAATAAACACCTCTAAGCCTGCCCTCAAATAAAGTTCAGTAGGAAGCAAGTGAAACCAGAGTGTTATAGATACTAATATAGAAGTACACACATTATGTAGCAGGAGCTGGTTTACACTTATTCCATTTTATTCAATGGAGAGGTGGCTAGGGACAAGAATGTATTAGAGGAAGCCCTTTAGATGAGTCTGGGAATATAAATAAATGTTCCCTAGAGGGACAAAAGGATAGAAAACGTGCAGAAGTAAAGTTTGGAGGTATGCAAGTACGCCTGGAAGAAGTAAAGACTGAATTGTAATTAGAATGGAGGCCAGACAAGAGGGAGGAAATCAGAACAGCTGTGTATACCCTGAAACACTGGACGTGAAGCCACAGATAACGAGGTTCTATGTGAGGTTAGCTAGTATCATATGTGGTTTTCTGTTAAAGAAGTTTTTGTAAAACTGGAGGTAGGAAGGTGAGGGATGGCAAAGATTTAACATTTTTGAAAAACTATCGTGGATTATAGCTTTATAAAGTACTTTTATGTATACAGTCTTAATATCAACAAGTTTATGTGTAATCAAATTCAGTTTATTAGCTCTTATTAAACAGATGTCGACACTGAGACATAGTGAAGTTAAATGGCTTTGTCAATATCCTTAATCACAAAGCAGAATACTTCTGTGATAAGGATTTCAGGTGTTCAGACCTGACAGAATATTCATGCCAACAGAAGATGAGTACTGCCATCTGTGTTGGTAAACTAGTGGGGAACATAGCTCAGTGAACAAGTCCACACAACCCAACATAAACTCCACACCAGCTCCCCACCTTACATGCATCTTTATGTATGAGCTGCAAGAGATAAAGACTGTTATAAAAAAGGAATTTCCTGATCCTGTTACTTTTTAAATTCTGAAACTGAAACTAAGGAATACTCCGTTTTACCAAGAAGGATTTTGTTGAAAGTATGCTTAAATTAGCCTTTGAGGAAAAGGCCACTTGACAAAATTATGAGATAAGAAAATGACAGATGTTTAAAAATTTCAGAAGATGAGTACTGTAATTTAAAAATTACATATAGAGCCAGGCATGATGATGCATGCCTTTAATCTTAGCACTTGGGAAGCAGAGGCAGGTAGATCTCTGAGATTCAGATCACTTTGGTCTCCATAGAGAGTCCAGCTGAGGCTACAGGGAAATGCTGTCTCAGAAAGACAACAACAACAAAAAACCCAGAAAATGCTGTAATTGCTTACCTCCATAAACAATGCCAAACTGTCCTGAACCAAGCACCTCATCTGCAAATATCTGATAAACAGTGCTGATGTCCTATCAAGAAATAGAAAGCAGCATTAGTTTTCTCAATACCACAATGTCTCTGACTCCAAATACTATTTTTATGTTAAAGGCAACTAATTTTTATAAAGTACAAATTATTTTATGAAACACAGCCAATGGTTAACTCCAATTTTATATTATGATTTAATGAGCAATTATGACATTCTTTAAGAAGACCTTTAGAAAAAAAATGCTTTGAATAAAAATATTTCATATTAGGTAGTGATCTATAAAAAGAAAATTAACAAAAAATTGAAAGCAAAATTTTATCCACTTTACCATTAGGAGATACTATCTTTGATTTAAAAGAAAAACTTGGGTTAGAGAGATAGAGCTCAGTAAAGTAGTTGCTGTGCAAGCATTAGGATCTGAGTTTGATCTCCAAAACCTACATAAAAAAAGATAGGCATGCTTCTAGTTTCACTGCTGGGAAGGTGGAAACAGCCAGATTCCTGAGGGTCACTGGCCAAGTAAGTGAGACAACCTGTCTTAAAGAAACAAGGTAGAAGTTGCCTGAAGAGGAATGACAGTCCAGGTTGTTTCCTGGCTTCCACACATGGGCACACATGCATGTGTACTCACATCAGCATCCAAAATAACAGCTGAAAAGTTCATATTAAGATTGGGCTGACTCGGAAAGTCTGACGAAGTGTGTGAAAGTCTGTAACATAAATCCACTCAATGTTCCTTCTCCTTTTTATGCTACTATTTGTTGCTGTCAGAGTATTCAAGCACTAACTTGGGGTATGTGGTAGTGTCAGAATTGCATTATGGGTGTGCCTGATGAAAGACAAAGTTAAGTTCATTTAATAGACTCAAAGCCTCAGCATTGAAACAGTGATCGATGAATGCATATATATGCATGTTAAGCTGTAATAAAGATTTCCAGGGTTCTAAGAATCATTTTTATAGGCTTATAACCCTTAATACATTTTTAAATGTAACAAATTTTGGTTCTAATCAAATTAGGTAAGAGGCCATTCAAGGTTAAGACCATTGCTAATTATTTTTTCTCTTTAGTCATGGATGGAAAAACCTTACGTTCCTGTGGGATCTTTCAAACTTGTTCTCTCATGTTCTTGGTATCCTCTTTTCTTTCCCAAAGAATATGGAGTTTACTATTTATTATTATTATTTTGTGACATGACACACAAGGTTGTACCTTCTTTTTTAAAAAAATATTTTATTGGCTGGACGTGGTGGCTCACGCCTTTAATCCCAGCACTCGGGAGGCAGAGGCAGGTGGCTCTCTGTGAGTTTGAGGCCAGCCTGGTCTCCATAGTGAATCCAGGACAGCTGGGGCTCCAAGAGACCCTGTCTCAAAAGGACCAAAAAACAAAATCTTATTTATTATTTATATTTTATGTGTATGTATGTATTGCCTGCACGTAGGTAAGTGCAATGCCCGCAGAGGACAGAAGAGGCTGTCGGATCCCCTGGAACTGGGGATATGGATAGTTGTTAGCTGCCATGTGGGTGCTGGGATTCGAACCCGGGTCTTCTGCAAGAACAGTGTTCTTAACCACTGAGCCATCTCTCCAGCCCTGGTTGTACCTTCTTAATACCTGCTGTCTCATACTAACTAGAAATTACTCTTAACTTCAATCTTAGAAATTTGAAACATCATGTTAGAAAACTATAATAGCTTGAAACTCCAAGTGAAAGAGAAATTTATATCAAAGAAATACAGAACAATTTTATGACTTCGTTTTCTAGCATTTTATTTTTTTATTCTAATGCAGGACTTGGCAAATTAGGGTATATGGGCCAAATCCAGCTTCCTGGCTCTTTCTTTACAGCCCTTGACTAAGAACTGTCAAGGTTTTAAATGACTAGACAAATCAAAATAATAATTTGTAACATGTGACTATTATATGAGATTTGAATTTCAGAGGCCACAAAATCTTTTTGGAAAAGTCATGCTCATTTATTTATGTATTGTCTATAGCTGTATTTTGCTACAAAGTTGAATATAGTCTATCACATATTAACTGTTTAGTATCTGAACCTTTACAGAAAGTTTGTTGTCCTATTATAAGTTATATGTACTTACATACACCAGTCAAACTTAATCTACTCAGTATTCATGGGAAGTCCTCCATTTCTTGCTTCCTTCTATTAGCTCATCTTGTTCCCTGTACATACATGGGATGTTCCTCCAACTCATTCCTTCAGGACTGTGTCAAAAATCCATTCCATCCTTTGAGCATAGATGAAGTTTAATTCCTTTAGGAAGTTTCCTCTGCTGACCAGTAAGCAGTAACTTCTTCTAATGAGAGAGGCTTACTTATCACTGGGTAATAGGTCTCACGTTACCTTTTTAAGTGAGCAAACTCTTTTAATGATTTACAAAATCTGCCTTAATTTCTTCTATAAAGCAGACCTCCTTAGGCAAAGTATCATCCATAAGGTTTATCTTAAGTATCTTAGCAAACTGCTCAGTATCTGGGGAAATAAATTTAATTCTCTGACAAGATTTTCACATTTTATTTTCCTTATTCAATCACTCAATTTGCACGTTGGATATACTTATTACTTACCACATTCTCCTGGACCTGACAATTAGACACAGAGATACTGGTAGCCAAATCTTCTGTGAAATATAAGAATGAAATGTGAGAAAAGAACAGAGTCATCAGTGTACATCTTAGTATTGACATGTGAAAATCCAAGTTAAGTAGACTTAAAAAGTAGGTTAATACAGTTAATATATACATTAAAGATTTTTATATACAATCCTAAATCATCAATAAGGGTAATAAAATGACATATCTACACAAATTTTAATAATATATAGTTATAAATACTGAGTCAGCTAAGCATGATGTTCTATTAAGGGCAACTGTTGGCATGACTCAGTGACAGAGCATCTGCCTCATGTGTGAGGTGTGAGGCCCTGGATTCAATTACTAGCACTTCCAGGAGAGAAAAAAAAATCAAGTTGTAGGGTAGCAGTGTCTGAATTAAAACTAAAAATTAAAACTAAATATATTACTTCTGGTAACTGATAAGGCTGAGGCGTTGAGGACTTTAATGTTCACATACTTCTACATTGCCTGTATTTTAAAAACTTTAATTAAAAATTTAAAATTAAACATACAATGGCATTGAATATGTGTGTGTGTGTGTGTGTGTGTGTGTGTGTGTGTGTGTGTGTGTGTGTATGATCCCCAGCATAAGTTTAGAAACAAATTAATAGTATTGGGTTACTAGAGACAAAATTTACACATTAAAAATGCAAAAAAAGAAAAAAGCACAATTGCACAAGCATATCAAAAATGCTTATAACAAAGAGAAAAAGCCATCAGGGAGCTTCTGCTTACTATGGTCTTTTCCTTGCCCTGGAGAAGTGCAAACACTTGCTTGAGGAGTCACAGGCATGAGGGCTTGACGAATGGCTTTTTCCCAGCTCTGTGCAACATCAAGTCCAACTCCAGTGGCAGCAAGTACAGGATTGTGAGAGCTTTCCCCACTGTTCTCACCAACAAAGTATACCATAGTATCAGTGATGATTTCAAAACAGTGTGGGTTACTGCCTTGTGAAATGTTTGTAAAATCTTGTGGCGAAGATACTCGGAGAATTTCTGAAAGTGGGATTTCCTGCAGTAAAAAAGTTAATCACAGAAAAACTATGACTACATATTTATTTTTAAATACACTAAGGAATCAAAGATAAGCATTTTTATGAACGTGGCAAACGGAACATGCAAATACTATGATATCTGTCTTAAATGATTTGCAGATCTAGCAATGCTAGAGGTAGAGCATGAAGTATGAGAGACTCCAGGCAGGGGAGACAGTTCAGTGAGTAAAGCACTTGCTGTGCAGAAAGTCAGACATGGTATCATACATCTGTAAACCCCAGAGCTGGAGGGTGGGGGGCAGAAATAGGTGGATCTTGAGGGGCTCACTGGCCAGGTAGTATAGGCAAAACAGCAAGTTCTAGGTTTAGTACAAGACCCCATCTCAAAAAAATAAGGTGGAGAGTGACAGAGGAAGACATCTGACATCTACCTTTGGCCTTCACATGTGTACCTGCACATGCATGTGCCCCTGCACACACACAAATAAGACAAAATAGATTTGGGTCTATAGCAGGTTGAGAGACAGCCAGAAAAGGGTTTAGGAGGGTAGTTTGTCTCTATAGCCAACATTTGTCAACTTCAGTCTGTCATCAGTCCTTTCCACAGTGACTTCTCTAATTGCTGCCTTTCTGTAAGATAACCCTCAAGTGGACCAGGTAGCAATAATGGCAGAGAAAGTATGCTTCAACACTCCTCGTCTATCCACCGACCTAAACTATTAATGTTTAGTCAAACTATTAGCCAAAACAGGCAAAACTTTATCTTCTTTGGTGTGTTTGGTATATGTGTATATATGTGTGTACGCATGTATGTGAAAGCCAAGGCTGACATCTGGTGTCTTTCTCAGTTGCTCTCCATCTTACTGAGACATGGTCTCTCAATGAACCTGGGGCTCACTAATTCAGCTAAACTGGCTAGTCAACATGCCCCAGAAACCTTCGACTCCTCCTCCTGTGTTGGGATTACCGGCGCACAGGACTGCTCCTGGCTTTCTTTGTGGGTGCTAGAGATCAAAGTCTGGTTCTCAGGCTTGTGTGGCAAGCATGTTCCATCTCTTCAGTCCCTTATTATTTTTATTTTGTACAGACAGGGTTTTGCTACATTGCTCTTCTGTATCTGAATTCTGGAGCGCCATGGTTCTCTAGCCCCAAGAAGTGAGACTGCTCTAAGCAGGAATTCAGATTTCACTCACTGAAGATTTTTATCCTTTAACTTTTAGCTGTCTTTCTTTCAGAAGTGATGTTTTGTTACCCTAAAAACGGCAGTGATATTGATCATCATCAGAGTTCTCTGAAAGACCAATACACAATGAAGTTCTCTGCCCGGTAACCATTTTCCTCTTATTGGTCTAATCGCTATACTTAGAATCTTGTTTGGTATCAAGAGACATGGTGAGACGTGGAACAAACTAAGGAGGACTGTGAAAAGGAGGTACAAGCCAGAATAAGCAACTGGGAATTGAAGCCTAAGATGAAGAGATCTCTTCTGCACAGGCAATAATAATCATGAGATTTCCTAAGCAGTGTGATCTAAATCACAGTATCCAGACGCAATCACAGTATCCTGACAGGACCAAACACGCAACCACAAAAATCTGACAGTGGGGCTGCTCTGTGTGTGTGTGTGTGTGTGTGTGTGTGTGTGTGTGTGTGTGAGAGAGAGAGAGAGAGAGATGAGAGAGATGAGAGAAAGAGCAATGGGGTTAGAAGGCAGTTGCTTTAAAAAGGATTTAATAAATACCTTCTATAAACTGTCTTAGGTAGTCATAATAAGTACATTCAAATAAAAACTGAACTGTATGTGGGAAAAAGCTAACTGTTATACGGGAAAAACTATGTAAAAAGTTTAACTGCATATGGGAAAAATACAGTATTACAATATCTTAATGTCTTATAAGATGTGAAATCCTTACCTTATAATATTTTGATCCAGATTCATTTTGAAACAATGTTAGACACTTGCTGTCAAGTCTCCAATAATGCCTTTTTCTCTATTAAAATAGAGGTCAGAAAACTGTGAGGTTCAAAAATGATTCCTTCCAAAGTACTTGTACTTTTCCTTTAATTTCCATTCCTAAATTTTTGAGTATTTAAATTAGTGAGGTTTAAGAGTCTTAAAATATAAAAAGGACAGAGAGTGAAAATTATTGCTCCCACAGCTCCTCATATCCCATTCCTTACTCTTACTTCAAGCACACTACATTGCTAGGTTTTGGAGTATCTTTCATAGAAATTTATGCACATACATGTAAATGTCTATATTATTCATACACATGGATTCCTAGAATTAAAGGTTAAGTTTCTAGAAGTTGTCATGTTGGGTCAAAAGATACATGCAGAGCTCACAGTGCCAACAGGTAAGGGGTCTCCAAGCCCTGACCACTGGTTCCAAACTTTACTGTCTGCCTAGCTGTGATGTGTACAAGTAAGGGGTCCCTGGACTCTGAGTACTGGGAACACACTTGCTCAGTTCCCCTAACTTCAGGCATGGACAGACCTGGGCTGCTCTCAACCTTGGTCAGAGAATCTTTTGCAGTGGGCAGCAGTCAATGGACTCATGTCTAACTGGTCAAAGTGCTGAGAGTAAGAAACCAAGTGTTCATTCCTAATTGGGACATTGATATTAAACCCCCAACCACCAAGGCTCACAAAAAAAAAAAAATCACAAAAGAGGCGGAAAGAGGCGTAAGAGGATGGGGAAGAGTGCTGTGAAATGCTGTCTTCTGTACATGATATGCTACCATAATCATGTACTCACAGCACCTATGGTTACCTAAATAAGACCTACACAAGATCAAGCCAGCCAAAATCCTGGTGTAAGTAGGGTAGATGATCTCCAGGTCCCATCTCTTGAGGAACTACTGGCAGTGGACAGTTGCTGAGGGAGAGAGAATGAGGATGTGGCCACTGGCAGGTTTCCACTTTACAGTGGATGACCACACACCCATGCACACATGGGCAGCACTAACTAGGCCTGGTGTGTTATAGTAAGAAAAAGACAAAGACAAAAAAAAAAAAAAAAGGGTGAAAAGAGAAGTCATGAAGTTGGGAGGGCCTGCTGTGTTGGGAAGAACACTGGGGTAGTTTGAGGGGGAAAATGGGATAGGTATGATCATATTTCACTGGTTATATACATGTATGGAATTCTCAAAAATAAATAGAAAATTTTAAGATAATACAGACTAAGCTTTGATAGTGTTAAATCATTTTACGTAAGATTTACCCCAATCTATAGTCTTATGAAGTTGGGAGGGCCTGCTGTGTTGGGAAGAACACTGGGGTAGTTTGAGGGGGAAAATGGGATAGGTATGATCATATTTCACTGGTTATATACATGTATGGAATTCTCAAAAATAAATAGAAAATTTTAAGATAATACAGACTAAGCTTTGATAGTGTTAAATCATTTTACGTAAGATTTACCCCAATCTATAGTCTTACCCACAACACATGAGCGCCTACTTGGACCATGTCTAATTACAGTGTATTATTAGATTTTTTTGATCTCTAATGTACCAAAAAATGAAAACTCGTACTTCAATGCAAGTCTAAATTGATGTTTCTTTTATTATAAATAAAACCAAGCTTTACATGTAAGAGTGAAAATTTTTATTTCCTTTACTGTGAACTCCTTGTTCATATTATTTACTCCTTTCTATTGTGGTCTTTTTCTTAGCTGGATTTATTCAAATATTCTGGAATTAGCTCTTATTTAGAATATAAGTTGAAAGTACTTTTTTGCCCACTGTTATTTGTCTTGTTTGTGGTTTCTGTCACACAGAATATCTTTGATGAGATACTGATTTTATTGTCCCCCAATGAGAATTTATGAAATAATGGTTTCAATATGTATTCTACTGGTTTAATTTGCAGTTATTTAAGTCTTTGATCCATTTGGTTTTCTCATATGTAGAGTGTGATTTATAGTGTGACGTCATTTTTCTTTCAAAATGGCTATTTGTTGTCCTAATACTATTTATTGACTTACCTTTCTGCGGATCTGATACTGAACATTTAACATACCACTAAATTCTCAAATGTATGTATATTACTGTAAGTTCCAGTTGGAAGGATATGAACTATAACAAAAGAAGAAATATACAGCTACAATCTGTATTATTGTCACCATATAAAATTTTACTGAAATCAGCTAAATATATCGAACACTTCATATTCTTTTTTCAAAAGTTTTTATTCTTTGAGAATTTCAGACACATAAACATACAATATATTTTGATCATGTTAGCTCCCCAATCCTACCCCTAACTCCTCCCATTTTCACCCCTTATCCCATCCCAGCTTTGTGACCTCTTAAAATTTTAAGAAATTTTTTATAACCTACTGAATCTAATTAGTGCTGTCCACATACTCATGGGGTGTGGGGCCATCTATTGGAGTGTGGTCAGCCTACCAGGGACTTAAAGAAAACTGACCTTCCCTCCCCTAGAAGCCTTCAGCTAAGGAAGGGGTTTATGTGCCCCTCATGCTGGAATGTTGACTGGTTTGATCTTGTGCAGGTCTTGTGTAGGTAATCACCACTGCTGTGAGTTCACGAATGCAGCCATCTTGACATGTCCAGAAGATGTTTTGCTGATTCTTACTGACTTTTGGCTCTTACAATCTTTCTGCCCCCTCTTCTGCGATGGTCCCTAAGCCGCCGTGAATGGAGGTGGTTATGATACAGATCTATGTAGGATGAATACTTCACAGACACTTGTTCTCTGCACTTTGACCAGTTCAGAGTTTCTGCATTAACTGCCATCCACTGCACAAAGAAACTTCTCTGGTGAGGTCCGAGAGGTGCACTAATCTAACTTCATATTATTTTTAAAAGGTTTACTATAAAGTATTTAGTAAATTTTAATGACTACTGATATATATTGACTGCTTATTATATGCCAAACATTGTTTTAAACTTTTCTCATATATAAACTTACTTGGATGTATGAGATAGTTACTACTTCTATGCAGATTTTATAAATGAAGAAACTGAGACATCAAAATAAGTAACTGTTGTAAGTTTACAATTTAGTGACAGACTTAGGAGAGTCTAGCTCTGAAGTCTGTGTTCCTGACTGCTATACTAGGCTGATTCTCCTTCTATTATCCTGCTGTAATTTCCATCCTCCTCCACTATACCAATCCAAAGAGGTGCATCTGCACCGCCTGTGCATGTAAAAACAGGGGTTTTCTGTCTTAATAACTAACTTAAGATGACTTTTAGATGCAATTTTCATTCTTTCCATCTTTTTCTATAATTGTTATACTTTGAGTCATTATTTTTGAATCAGATCCTTTTGAATCCTATCATTCCAGCATAACCTTTACATATTGTCATAGTGTATAGAATGCCTTAATAATATCTCATCCTCATTTTGATTTCCAAAGTGCTTACAATAAAAATCATTACAAAGTTTTTCTAGCATATTAAAACATATGCAGTTACTGACCAGGTTATCCCTGCTGGTGTAATGGACCATCCACCCTTCCTTCACCATTGTGCTGCTCTTCCTCTTTGTGTGCTTGATAGACTGTACAACCCTCATCAATGGAATGTTATTGCTTGTGGATGGACTAAAAAATATTCAAAATTTATTATCAATATTTGTAATTTCTCTTTTTAAAAAATTATAAATACTGCAGGCTCATCAAATTTTGTTAAAGATAGCTGAGCTAATATTTTTCATAATACCATAGGAAGAGCATCACTTAAAAGAAAATAAATTAACCCTGTTACGATGATACGTAATTTATAAAATTAATATACTGTAAATACTCATATTTGTCATAATCGTTTCTGAAGGGACATGGACACAGACAGATAGACGACCGACTGACTGACACACACACACACACACACACACACACACACACACACACACAAATGATGAATAGAGCAGAAAGAATCCTCTCCCACTAGATGATTTCAAGTCTGGGAGATGGTCACTTGGGTTTGCTGTTGAGAAATTTTCTTACCCTAGGCAGAAGGATAAAGCAAATTCATAAGGCAAAACATGTATATTCAACTTCACATGGTTCAAATTTCAAAATCAGGTGATCATGGGAAAAATACTTTTAAGGGAAATGATTTATAGGTATTAAGAAAATTAAAATAAATTAGCCAAATCATGTTATGCTAAAATACAGAGTCAGTAAATATAGCTGGAGAAAAAATGAGCAATTTGGTATATGTGTATGCAAAAATACTGTTTTGTAATTTGAGCTCTAAATAGCTTAGGAATGTATTCTTCACTGCTGTTTCTACTACCTGGTAATCTTTATGAAAAAACTGACGGCTTCAATTAATGGTTTAATGTTGGTACCTTGTGGTGACGGCTCCATAGCTAGATTATTTGTCCAGACTAATTTAAATAAAAACTTTTTCTTTGTAAGAATGTAAGGATTCTTATCTTCTCTACCCTGAGTGGATGGCAAAGGTTGTATAATTTATTTCAGAAACACTGTGGTGTATGCAGAATATAACTTAGATTTTAAATTACATTTTAAAACCCACTTATGAGATACCCCTTTGTCTTAAGAGAGAGCCTGACCCAAATGCAAAGCAGCAGCTTAATGTATTACCTGATTGTTTTAACAGTTTCTTCATCTCGTTCCACATCAAGATCAGATGGATCCAGAAAGAATATTTTGTCTTCTGGGGGGGATGGCTCTTCAGAGTCATCCAAGCCCCGACTTCCATCACTGTTTATATCATTACTGTCAATATCCATTGGTATATCTGTATCTGTTCCCAGACTGGAAGGTTCTAGGAAAGTTTTAAAAGAACTTTAGTTTAATATTAATGGAATATCAATACATCTAATCAGATCAGTCTTAAGTAGAAAAAGTTTTAAAACTCTTAAAGGAAAAAATTCTTAAGATTCAAGGGAAGTCTCCCCCCAACCCCCCTTTTTAAACTTGCAGTGCTAGGGATCAAATCCAGGGCCTTGCAAACACTAGGCAAGTGGTTTACCACTGAGAAAGTATTCAGAATATTTAAAGAATTTCTATAATTCAATAATAAAAGACAAAATATTTAGTTAAACGCTGATGGGATATAAAACACTGAAACTGCTTTGGAAAAGTCTAATAGAGCTTCAAAATGTTACACAGAGTTACCATGTGGCTCAGCCACGCTACTATGAGGCATCTACCTGAGTGAAATGAAAACATATGTCAACAGAAGAATAATGGTAAACTGCATACAGCAACATTATTCCTAACAGTCCCATAGATACAACTCAAATATTCATTGACTAGTGACTCTATAAATAAAATGTAGTAAATCTCTGCAGAGCAATATAATGTTAATAAAAAAGTTAAATATTGATATATGTTATAACATGTACGCTGAAAACGTTGTGCTACATAAAATAAAACAGTCACCAGACTACACATTCTTTGTATAACTGTATTTATATAAAATTTCTAAAATAAGCACATAAAATTGGTAATTGCCAGAGGCTAATAGGTAGGGAAATGGAAACAGCTATTAATTACAGAATTTCTTTTGCCTGAAATAAAAATTCCCAACATTAGATTGAGTGATGGCTGTATAACTTTGTGAACATAGTAAATGGGTGAATTGTAAGGTGTGAAAATTATTATCAGTAGAGCTGTTAAAAAAACTAAGTCATGGGGCTGGAGAGATATCTCAGTGGTTAAGAACACTGGGTGTGCTTGCAGAGGATGTGGCTAACAATCAGTTCCAGGGGATCCAATGAGACCTCTTCTGGCCTTCACAGGCATTGCACACATGGATTCACTTATATAGATGCAGGGAAAACATTTATACACATAAAAAATAAAAATTTTAAAATATCAAAAAACCCTAATTCACAATACTAGCTACAACTGAAAAAGGATTAATATATAGAACTATCAGAAAAATAAAACACTTGATTAAGCAATGTACAGGGGAAAAAAACTTCTAAATAACCAGTAAACATTTGAAAGATCTTCACTCACGAGTGACCAGAGAAATACACATAAAATAAATACAACTAGTATTTATATCCATTTGTAAAAAGGTAGAAAAGTACAAAAATACAAAATGTAAAACAACAAAAAAAAAACATCTACACAATAGTTTAGACATATGAAAAAAGAAAGCCAATCATACTCTGTTAGTGATGCTAAAGAGCTATGGTGCAAATGACTACCCAATACTCCTTTGTTGGACTCTTACTTCTAAGGCAATAGTGTTGAGAAGTGAGACCTTTGGGAGGTGATCAGGTCATGGAGACTCTGCTCCTATGATCTGGATTAAGTGCTCATACAAAATCAATCTGAAGGAGCTGGAAATTTAGGAGTACCTTCTCCTTCCTTCCCAAAACAGGTGATGGCTTTATTAGTATTATATTGGAGAGAGGGAAGGAGTGGTAGATTACTTAAGAGAAAGAGACTATGGACTAAGACACCAGACATGTGAGTTCAAATCTAGTTCTGCCACTTCTTGGCTATATTTCTTGGACAAATTATTTAATGTCTGTGTCCTAGGACACTGATTAGGATTTACCTCAAGAGGGTTGTTGTTACATGTAAATGTCAGTATGTTCAAGGAGTTTAAACAGAGCCTGGCACAGTAAGCAGTCAATGAATATAAGGGCCTTGAAAGAGTAAGGACTACAGCAAGATTTAGAAGTACAATGGAGGACAAGCAGCACCATTGGCTATCTGAGGCCAAAGAGAGGCTGGTAGCTTAAGGAAAGGTGTGAGGCATAACTGCTAATGAATGTGTAGCACCACTGATCTCTGTGTTTTGCTTGATTATTAAAGCCAAAGAAAATCTTAAAGAAACAAAGCAAATAAAATATACAAATATAATCTTACCCAGATAACACACAGAAGAATCATGACCTTTTCTGAACTTTTTTTAAAAGTAAGAGAAATACATAATTTTACCTCCATTGAAAGTAACTTCTCCAAGGCAATCTCTTGGTACTTTTGATGCACAGCGTTTATGGCAGTTGAATTTGCAATCTAAAATAAAAACATTCAGCTTAATATTATATAATCAGTCAGGCAAAATCAGATATGGTTACACTTCCTTTAAATCATACACATAAAATATTAGGAATGATGAGCACACTGCTAAAATAAATTAAAACTGTTTTCCTCTAAAAGCTCAATTCTGCTATAGCTTCTGGTGAAACCTAATTTTTTAACCTTTCACAAGTGTCTCAACCCAACCAAAGATTTATTTCTCCATCATCTGTATAATGAAGCCAATGCCATTTGTATAATACTGTAAACATGCTGGCAACTCCATGTTTCCTTCTCTTACTTCAGAGATTCATCTTTCCACATCTCTGGAAAGTTTTTTAGAGCAATGAAGTTTTGATCCAGTACATCAGACATGTATTTTCAATCCCTAAATGTTACAACCTGGTGCATACACAAAAAGAACACTGAGAGTCAACAAATTTGTATGAAAACCTCATCTAGTAAGAGTGTGTCATACAATCTGTTAAGAAGCACTGAGCTTCTCAGCCACAAAGTCTCCCAGTTTTACATAATGGTTTTCTTCAGTCTACAATAGCCTCAGAGTTGAAAACATTGCAGAAGAGGCCAGATACAATCTGTTTAATACTTCTGTTATTGCTCAGTGGTTCTGAACTATGAACCTAGATCAGCAACAGCATTGTCATCATTGAGCAGTTTTTCAGAAATGCAAATTCCTGAGCCTCATGCCAGACAGACTACATGGGCAATTCAGGGAGTAGGGCTGAATATGTGCTTCATGGAGCTCTTCATGTGACATTAAAATACGACTTACTAATGTAACTACGTCGAACACCACATCTGAAAAGAATCTACCAGTATAAAGTGCAAAAACAATTTTGAAACCTGAATTAGAATGCTTTGTAACTCATAAATCAAGAAATCCTATGTATCATATTAATGGCAGAGGTTGATTATTATAGGAAAAAGCTTCATTAAGTCAATAATTTGAAGGATGATGAAATTCACATTAGACAGAACATGACCCTTATGAGAGATCCTAAGAAAAAAAAATTATACATGATGTTAATACATTGTCTATTTCTGAATATGCATGATGTTAATATGCTGTACTGATCTAATGAATTTTATCAAGTTTGAAAATCACAAAGGCCTTATTTTTCCTTTGAAAAGTTAAATTTGTAGCCCACTTACAGCAAGTTTGCAGGATCTAATGGCATGCACTCTTATTTCTCTTATCCCTAACATCTTATATATAAATTCAAGCTGCCTTAAAATTTTACCCAGCAAAGGAAGAAATAAAAAGGCAAATAAGTGGATGAATGAACTTTTTTAAAGCTGAATTTTTTTTTTTAGCTTGGCAAATGAATAAAAACGAGTATTTTATTCTTTTAATAATCTAATTAAAATATATCAATCACTGAAGTGCATTATGATTTTTTATTAATCATTGAATTTTAGTTATTAAAATAAAACATACCATTTTCTGAATGAATATAAGAACAATAAATTATTCTTAAATCCTAAAAAGGTTAAACTAATAATGTAGTGGCAGTGTTAATAGGCTTTATTTTAAAATTTATCAACCTATATATTTCATTTC